CATATTGACCGTATCACATAGTTTTTCTCTTTCCTGGTAGTGGCGTTCATTAGCTGAAGATGGAGGAAAAACTTCATGCGTGCTTTAGATGACACGTAATTAAACCAGTCGAAAAAAAACCAACAAACCTCTTTACAGGGGAGAGCTGGAAGCAAGGACTATTAATAGAAACTCCAGGAAGAGGCTGTTAGCAAGCCAAGGCCTGCTCAAATGAGGCAGGATGGAAAAAGGAAAAAAACCGAACATGCCACAATACCAGGAAGCTATAAAACCCATTAATCCCCACCCATGAGGACAGCCATCCAAAAAATAAAGGTTTGTTTGCAGCGCGAGGCTACGAGCTGAATTCAGCTGTCCCAGCGAGCTCTGGAAAAGCAGCAACTTCTCCTGAGCGCAGCGAGGGGTCACAGGTATCGAGGCAGGGCTCTTAAACCACGTTTTGGAGAGCTTCGAAGTGCCAGAGAGATCTCAGAGGGGATGTTTGATGGCTTCAGTCTCACAGCATCCCGTAGGCTGTTGGTTAAATCCTGCAGGTGCTCCCTGGTGCCCGTGCAGCACAGCCGCCTCCATTCGTGTACCAGGCAGGAGCTGCAGCCATCCCCCTGCTTTGGAGAAGCTCTTACGGACCAAAAAGCCACAGCACATCGGGGTTTGGGGGAAGAAGCCAAGAAATGATGCAATGTTTCATGAAGCCACTGTGCAGAGCCGAGATTGGCTCCATTTTAAGCATGCTGAGCTGCTAGCTGGTGGCCTGATACGGCTCCAGGGTCAGCGGGAGGATGCAGCAGCTGAATTAAGAGCAAAGGGATTTTGAAAGGCAGCCCTTAAGACCTGCACTGACCAGCGGTATCGGTAGCAAATGCTCACGCCTTGTGAAAGTGATGCTGTCACCTCTACCCGACTTAGGTTTTCACGCCTATGTTAAACCAACGCTGCTCTGTTTTCCCCTCTGCTGGGAAAGCTCCCTCAAAATCAATTCCTCCAAGTTTCTGCCTTCCCCTTTCACTTAGCACCGAGTGCCTGACCAGAGGTTCTCTCTTCCCTGCAGAATCCAGCCTTTTGGGCTCATAGGATGCAGCATTTTGGCGTGGCTGAACGCCAGCAGAGAGTGTTAAAGCCCCGCATCACCTCGGTTTGTTGTCTGCTTCTAATCTGGAGCTCTTTAATCCACCCGAGGAGCAGCGAAGGGTCGTGAGAGACAGTAAAACAGCCACGGGTGACGGGCTGGTGGGAGCTGGAGTGTTTGGAAGTGAGTACAGAGGCACCTTGTGAGCAACGTGAAGCTGCACGTGCCGATGGGAGAGCAAAAGCAGGCACGGCAGCGAGGTGCTGAAGTCTTGCTGCCGGTGGCTGAAACAATCCTGGCACGTGGGCACCCAGGTGCTCAAATCCCCCTGCGCTCCAGAGGGTGGTGAGCTCTTGGTTTGGCTGGCAAAAAGACAAAATGCAGTAATTTGGGAACCTCATCAGCTTCTTACCAAGGGAAAAATTAGATTTGTAAAGCGCATCCTCCTCTTTTTTTCCCAGAAAGCGGTTATTTTCCTGATGGAAACCAGCTCGCTACCTTCTCAGCTGTAGGCTGTTGCATTTTGGATCCTGTACCTCAGAAGGTTGAAAGATAAATCTGCAGAAGGTTTGCTGAGAAACCACCGTAATCCTAACCTCAGCTTTGCCTTTTAACTTGCTGAGAGTGTTTTAAATAAGGAGAAGCATTAGGATTAAGCCCGAAATTCAGTGAGATTCAGGGAGCTGCTACAAGGACCGCAGCTATTTCATTCCTCCTTTGAAGCTTTCAACATTGATGAAGTGCTACTGAAGCGATCTTTTCCTTTTCTGCCTTTTTCTTCCTTTTGTTTCTTTTTTGGGAGCAAGCCTTGAGCTTAAAATGAGTCGGCAACTTCCTCTGCAGACCTCTGCGGCTGACATCATTTGCGCGAGGATAATCAACAACAGGAAGACGACATCTGGGCTTGGAAGCAGGACGAGATCAAGGCTGTGGTGGGCTGGAGAGCGGAGGGGTGACCATGGGCTGCTTTGTCTCGGCTGAGGCCGCTCCATCTGCTGCAGGAGCCGAGCTTTTTGCTTTGGGAGAGGAGAGGCTCTCCCAAACGTGGGGAGTAAGCCGGGGGCTTCCTGAGGGAGGAGGAAGATCAGCGAGGTCAGGCTAGCACGGCTGCTTTTCACGTGGGAAACCTCCAGGGTAATGTGCACGGCTGGGACCGCTGCGTGCTCCGCAGGCTCTCCAAAGACCTCGTGGCCTTGTGGCAGATGATGCCCAGGGGTCATCTTGGGAGCCTGGGGCTGTGGGAACCTAGCGGCTGGAGCTCGCATCAGCTGCTTTGTAGCGCTTTGAAGCACGGGGACCTAAAGAAAAAGCTTTTTGTTTTACTCCCAGCTCTTGAGCTCTGCCTGAGGGCTGGAAGAGCTTCCTCTGAGCTGCATGGGGGCGCTTCCCACCCTAGCACCAAGCAGAAGGAGTTCCACCCCTCGGTTGTTTTAACAACTGACAGGCGGTGCTAACACGGGGGAGACATTTAGCCATGTCCGAGTTACCTCTGGGCTGATATTTTGGGCTCAGAGGATGTGAGAAATGGGGATGTGCTCAGCTTCTGCTGCCTCGCCTGCAGCAGCCCTCCGGCTCCGGGCACCCCTGCTTTGCTCTGCCCCAGTGCTGCTGCCCCGGTTCCCTCTGGAGCAGTGAAATCCCACATTTTTGAAGGCTGGGGGTGCACGTTCAGGCCTCCTTCTTGCCGAGTGGATGTGCTGAAGGGGTCAGTGAGTGACGTGTCCCATTTGGATGGGGCCAGTGGGCAATTTGGCTCTCAGGGAGCTCGAGGGAGCTGCGCTGAGCTGTGTCGGCAGCACAGCTTCCATATGAGATATTCCCAATCCCCGGAGCCGGCTGTAATGCACATATGCACCACTACCCCCGTCCTTATCCTTATTGTAACCAGCTGGGGGTTGACTTGGTCAGAGATCTGATAGAGCTCCCTCACCCCTCTCCTGCTCCCACAAACTCCCATTACTCATCCTTGGGCAGTACATGAAATGGGGGGTGATGGAGCTCTGATCCTAAACACCGGAGTCATTCCTGGGGCTCCTTAACCCCTCGGTGTCTCAGAATTCCCTAATGCCAACCAGCCACGCACTGCCTTGGGGTTTTCAGAGCTCTTTTGGCACCTTTTGTCTAAATGGAGACGGATTTAGGATAGAGATTAAAGGGGATTTTGGGGCTTTTTAAATAGTGAGGAAGACAGCTCTTGTGTTCAGGCCATTCCTGAAAACCTGGGTTTCACCACCTGAGGGTGGTGAAAACCACATCCTTCATCTGGTGCCAGCCACCAGGGAAATTTCAGAGCTTTCTCCCATGGCACAGAGGAGCAGGATGCTGCTCTGAGCGGGCAGACAAAGGCCTCCTACTTCCTCAACCCTTCAGCCCCTGCTGATTAAAGCTGCGTGGATGATGCATGGCAAAGAACTGCACATCCCATCCTTCCCTTTGCAGGCTAGCGTGGTGCTCTGAGGAGCAAACACAAGCTTTTTGGAAGAAAAGCAAATATTTTAACTGCTGTTTGCTGTGTCTTGTAGCCGCCTTTGCAAGACAGAGGGGGTGGGCAGAGCTTTGCAGGATGGTTTGGGTCATCCTCTTCCCTTGGTGCGGGTTCTGCACGTCTCAGACACCAGAGATAGTGTTACTGCCCTGGGTGGCTGAAGCCCACGGGTATTTCAGGAGAGCAGGATTGCTTTTGGAGCAGGCTGAGAGCTCCCAGTGCAAATCCATTTCTTAGGGGGGTGCAAAACCAGGAAATCTCAGCCAACACATTGGCGTGGGGGAGACACAACGCTTGGAGAGTGAGCAGGGCTCGAGGACTCTGTCCTTTATCCTCAGGGAGGATGTGAAGCTAACTGCTGAGCTGGTGGCAGCCCAGATACTTACTAGTGAAGTTAAAAACAAATGGCTTCAATTTCTCTGTCGAAAATTTAAGCCTTTTTTTTGTTTGTTTGTTTTTGATTTTTGGGTTATATGATAGAGAATTTAAGCCAGGGCTCCAGGGCTCTCCTCCTCTTGTCTGCCCAGTGACCCATGAAGTCTTGCAGATGTTCCCTGCTCTCCCAGCAGACGGTCAGTGCCTCAGATGCTGGCTCAGTTCTTTTATTTCACCGTGGCTAGTGAAGATCCCAGAGATCCCATACATTCAAACCATTTGAATATTGCCCAGATTATTGGGATGAACAACAAACCTACAGGTACAAATCTCATCACCACTTGATGTTGTGCATCTGTAGTACTGGTGGCGACGTTCTGTAGCTGCTGATAAACCCTGCTGCTGTCAGAGTGATGAGTTCGGCTAAAATGAGGATAGGACTGGAAAGATGCCAGGGGCAAGCAGGACCCTTTTCTCCTCAGGCAGTGTTTGTTGGGCCTGCTCCTTGCAGTCCTTGCTGTATTACTTTTGGGATGTGTAGCACAAAATGACAGAGGCTTTGGTGGCCACTCTGTATGGCCAGCAGCAGTGTGTCCTGGCACTCGGGGTACCTTTTGTAGCATCTGCAGAGGCACAGACAAAGGCACTGCTTGGATCCGAGGTGCTGAGCACTGAAAGCTGCTGGCGGATCCTCACGGGGGGATCTTGCCCGTGTCATTGTGTATTTGTCACCCTGCTAGGTAGGAGGGGAGGGTGTTTATGGAGCAGCGGTTTGGGTTTGCTGCCTTAGGAATGTCATTTGCTTCATTTAGAAACAATGGCAGGCTGACAAGCTGTGGATGGAGCTGTGCCCTTCAGCTCCTGCTTTGTAGTCGGCTTCCTTGCTGCGGTCTCAGATGTGGGGCTTTGGAAACCAGGCCCTTCGAACTCAGATTTTAAGGGGAAGGGGAGAAGTGGACTCTTTTTTAATATTTTTTTTTTCAGCAGCAGGTCCTGCAAGGCATGCTTTCTGCCTTAAACACCCCTGAAAGATCCCGAGCCAGCCTGACCAATGCTTCTCTTGTCTTTTCCCAGTCGACCACGTGGTTCCGGAGCCGGGGACCAGTTTGCTGACTGCGTTTGACCAGTGGCGAGAATGGGCAGACAGCAAGTCCTGCTGCGACTACTCCCTGCACGTGGATATCACCGAGTGGCATAAAGGTGTCCAGGAGGAGATGGAAGCTCTGGTTAAAGATCATGGTAAGTTTGGTTAGGGAACACACAAGGAAGCCTTTCCCCTTCTCGTTTTTTAGGGTTGGCTCCCTTATTTTTCAAGACCAGATCTTTCAGAGGTGTTTTATTCTTACCTCCCAATAAATCTGTTTTGGGCCCTGTCGTTATCTTGTCCCACTCTGGCTTCTTGTCAAAGTTTGGACAGTCAATTTGAGAAGGCTTTGGGGGATGCAGTGTGTTAGATGGAGGAGCATGGATTTACAGAGGAGAATCTCATGCAGGGAAGCCCCTTTGTTCAGCTTCAGACATCAAACTGCTGTAAACAGGGGAAGAATCAGGCCCAGAAAGAACAAGCCAGCGCCGGTCACTAACGGTGGAGAAGAGCTTAATAAAATGACCTCATAGGATTTTCCCCTCTTTAATTTCCTTGACGTTTCATCCTTAGGCTAGAGTAATTTTCCATCCTGTTTGTAGCTTAAAAAAAAAACAACCAACCTTTTACATCCTAATGAGCGTTTTCCCATAAGTGCTGGGTAGGAACTTTTCTCTTGTGCTACAGAAGGCAGGAAAGGGAAAGCTGACTTCTGAGAACTCCCCGTGTCGTGGTCAGTACAGACGTGGTGCAGGAGGGAGTGGGAGATCAGGCAGACATGCCCCGTCTCTGCTGTTGTGTGCAAGGCATTTTGCTTATTATTTTTATGAACTCAGCCTCCCACGGTGCTGAATCCACAGAATTATTCTGCTTTCAGTGTTAAGTGGAAGCCCAGGGGTTTAGCTGTCCCCACGAGCTGCACCGTTCCCATCGGCTGTGTTAATAGATGCCAGCTGGCTGGGGAGGTCCTGGCTTTGCGCTGCGATTTGTCAGGAGTGTGTGCATCTCGCCGTGTGCACGTATGTGTATGCATTTCACAGCAGATTAAAGTAATTTATTTGTCTACCTATCATTACTGCTTGCCGGGGGGCTGATTGAGGGAATGGCTCCTTTCTGTGGGAAATGGTGTGTTCTTGTGTGTGTGCCTGCAGTGTGGATGTCAAAGATAATTCCTTTGCTCTCTTTCTACCAGGTGTGAATTCCTTCTTGGTTTACATGGCTTTCAAAGATCGCTTTCAGCTAACTGATTCTCAGGTAGGAAGGCTTAATGTTCACATCCTTCTGTCACCGAAAGCTGTGCATTAGTCACATCCAGGGGTTTACATTCAGTCTATTTGGATCTGACATTCTCTTCTGGTTTCAATCTTTGCATGTGTAACAGGACCGAAGGTTTGTAACAGTATCCAGAGCTCTGCCTCCCAGAACTCTTTTAAACAAGAAACAAAAAAACCCTGAAAGTCTTGGCTGGGGAGAGTAATGGTAAAACTCTCACTTGGAGGGAACTAAAGTTTTATTCCCACTCCTTTAGTGTGGAAGCAATGGCAGTTTGATAAATTGCTGCTTTCTGCCTTGACACAGGGCAAGCCAGAGATCTCTGGCATAAATTGTGCTTGTGTTTGTAAGCTGAAATGGAGCCTGGTCCTGAAAGAGGGGGTTCTGGCTTTAGCCTTAGAATCACTGGGACCTTAAAAAGGAATTGCCCTCCTGTTTGCTCCTCGAGTGGCTACATCTGAGCACCATTTAATTGTTTAGATGGGTAGTTTATGTTTCTAAATGTGGTGGGAGGAGAGGAATGCCTGGGAGCCATTTGGAGCGGTGTGGGAGGCAGTGGTGTATGGCAGTCATCTCTAATGACTGGTAGGCATTTTAATGAGCCACCATTGACTGAGCAGGTTGTGGGTTTGTCAACCTGAGCCCTCTCAAGCTGGTTGGTGGAGTGGGAAACCACAGTGCCTGTTCCAGCAGTGAGCGGGGTGGGCACAGGGTCTTCATAAAAATCAGGCACAAGGGTTTTTTCTGTGCTGGGCACCAGTAATTGAAGGCATGGAACAAGTAAAACGCTGTGAGCTCCTTAAAATCACTCCTTGCAATTGCTGTTTCTTTCTCCAGTGTGTGTGCTAGAAAACCCAAACGCTGGTGTTTGAATATTGCTTCTTACAACAGCAATAGTATTCAACCGTAACGATGGGGAAATCTAGTTGTAGGGGGAGAAAATGGATCAAAATGTATCCAGCAAACAACATCTTACCTTTCTTAATGCTTCCCTGTCTCTTTTCTGTTCTGCACAATTCTGTATGCTAAAGGAGATCTGATATATGGATACAGAGACCTGAGGGTGCACTTGGGGTGTATTGTGATGTGTGTTTTCTGTCTTCCAGATATACGAGGTCCTGAGCGTAATTCGGGATATTGGTGCGACAGCTCAAGTGCATGCTGAGAATGGTGACATCATTGCTGAGGTATCTCGTGTTTATTCTGTGGATTGTTAACTTCAAAATGCTGGGAGGGGTTTAAACACTGGATTCCTTTTTGCAAACAGAAAATCCTGGAGGCATTTAAAAGCACAGCAGTGTCAAGGATGCAAGCAGAGCAGTGCATCAAATGCCATCCCCTTCACTGTCAGTAATAATTCAGGTTTTTGTGGCAATTTTCAGCCTGTGGTGGGTGTCAGCCCTCTCTGTCTGTCTGTCCATAACAGAAAGTCTCACTGCGTGCTGAAAAATGCTCTGCAATAACTTCAAGCAGGGGAGTGGGAAGGAAAATAACTTCCTACAATATCTGGGATGCTGGCGTTTGGGATCCATTAAACAGCAAAGAAGAAGAGATGTTATTAATGCATTTGGATGTAATCTGATCTCCAGATCATTTTATACGTTATGCCTCAAGCATGCACAACTTGGTGGTGCAAAGGATTCCTTCATTGCCTGGCTGGTGAAAAGACCACCTGAGTCTTGGAGCCCACTGGCCTGCAGTTGCAGGATGATCTTTGCAGGAGATACTGTTTTTCCGCATCTCAAAGATTATTTTATAGACACAAATGAGGAGTGAAAGTTGAGGAGCTGTGAACCCAATGTGAAACAAATCAAAATAAAAGGCTTCCCTGACCTCCTGTGAACAAATCAGCAAGGGTTTTGTAGAGCTCTGGTTATTCTCAACAGTGGAAGTTGGACAGAACTCTGTTTTTAAGGCCCTTATGTAAAGCCCCATGTGACCGTCAGCGAGCGCAGATGCCTAGGATCTCACTTGTACCTCTTACAAACAGCTGTGTTTGCTGCAAGAAAAACATACGCTGCTTTAAATCTTTTCTTCTGCTCTTTTTTCTCTCTGCCTTAGGAGCAGCAAAGGATCCTGGAACTGGGAATCACAGGCCCTGAAGGGCATGTGTTGAGCAGGCCTGAAGAGGTGAGAACACCTTCCCATTTACTCCCCAGTTTGTATCATTCCTGCATTGCCACCAGGTAGTTCCTATTGGGATGAATTTGTTCACAAACAAGGTTTCATCCTGGCTATAAACAGCATTGCTGCATGGGGGGAGGGAAGAGGCTAAAAGGCTTCTAGGGACTGAGTAGGAACTACTCCATTCTACAGACTTGACCACTATGGGTAATTCTGAGTAATTGAGGAACCCCCTCAGCTTCTCTGCTGGAGAGAGGGACACATTCAGGAAGTAATGTTTCCACCCTAAGGTTTGATTTACCCTCTGGAGATGGACATCTCTTTCTGCTGGTTGTTGGAGAGGGTGTGTCTTTGCTTGCACAACAGATACTTAAAATAAAAAGAGATGAATTTGAGTCACAGAGCCCATGAGTGCTCAAAACACAGAGAGTTGTACTTAGCACATCTTCAGTTCAGCCCTTTGATAGCTCAAACTGGATTTGTACGTTAGGGGCTGTAGAAAATGTTGTGCTAGGTCCTCTGTGTGCAGACAGGGCAGCAGGAAGACCACAGTCTGCCTTGATTCAGCTGCTAATCTGAACACTGCTCAGATGGGGTCCCTGAAGAATTTCTGATGGTTTGGTCTTTAAAGAGCTAGACCATAAAGTTTTTGTAGTTTCCATCACTTTTAGTAAGTGTTTTGCATGAGTAAAGACTTCAGAATTTGGGTTTACATAGGCAGGATTCTGCCACTTTATTTCCTAGATCCCATGCCTTGGTTTTCTCTTAGTCCTTATCTTATCAAGGTTTACTCTGAATCAGTGGAAGATTTTTATATATGCCCGAATCCTGACATTCTGTTTTAGGTGCTTGTGTACTTTCCATTGTATTTGGTCATTTGATGAACATTTTACAGTTGGTGGATTTTGAACACTGAAGGACTAAATGAGTTGCTGAAGGCACAGAAGATGTGTACCAGAGAGGGGAGCTAATTCCCAGCTCCCAGGCTATTACTTCAGCATACCTAACCTCCATCCTTTCCGTTGATTTCTCTAGGGTCACGTGCCCCTATCCCATTTATCTCATTCCTTCTGTCCCCTTAAAAGGAGTCCTGTGAGTAAGGACAAGCTCAAAACTTTCAGATTGGTTCCCACCGCGTTCTTTGTGTCTTGTCTTTCAGTATCTTTGAGCTAGACATCTCACCGTGGCACCACGGCTTTGTGGAGTCCATCCATTATGCACAAGAAATTATTTTTGTTCCTCTAAGATACCGGGGCTGTGCTGACTGCCAGATGTGGTCCTGCTGGAAGCTGAGCGTGTGAGATCATTCGCACATGCCCTTCATGCTCCCTCTCCGTTTCCTCCCCTTGATTCAGACAAGCAGCGTCCAGAGACATTTCAGTAGGAGTATAAATCACTCCGTTGCTGCAGGCAGAAAGAAAAAAAACAAACGCTCGGCTTGGGCAGTGTGCGAATCCTCCCAGAAGTTGTGTTTGGCTGCAGGAGCTGGGAGTTTTTGCTTCCTGGAAGTTGCAAGCAAACGCTTGCACTGAGCCTCCCCCCCCCACCTACCCCCACGTTTTTATTGTCAGACATTTCAGCAGGCAGCAGGAGAGCAGGAACAGACGCCACTCAGACACTCGGGGCTCATCTGTGGAGCACCCCTAAACTTTTGTGGACTTCAAAGAAAAGCTGCTCCTTGTCTTGAAGGATCTGGCTGTCAAATTAGTCTGGCTACTTCAAAGATCGCCATTAGCGGAGGGGGAGCTTTTAAGAGCGAACTGTGCGGTTCCCTGGCTTTGTTTGTTTGTTCCATCTGTCTCCTGCACTGGGCAGAAATGTGCTCTTTCACCACGGACGCAGCAAGGCTGCCTGAGGACACGTGGCAAGGATCAGGGGAGCCTCTTCCAGTGTCACCAGGCAGCCTCGGTGCAGCTGAACTCAGCTGTGCCGTCAGTGGAAGCGCTTGGTCCAAATTCTCCTCCTTTAAAGTCCTAGGAAACAGAGCAGGAAACGATGTCATCTGCTTCCCTCCCCTCCTGTTCCCCGACGCAGTCGTGTTTTTAAAAACACGCAGTTCTCTTCAAGCTGGCCGATGACAAAGGCCAGATCCTGAGGGCGGCAGCAGCTTCGTAATTCCTCTTAACCTCAGGAGGAGCCGATGTTTCTTGCTGTTCCTCTGGAGGGCTGGTAAATGCTAAATTGGCTTCTCACACTGCCCCTTACGGCGTGTAAAGCCTGTCCTAAGGACTTCATGGTGCTTGTCATCTTGCTAAAGATCCACTTCATTCAGAGCTTCCCCTACAGCGCAGCAGCAGGAGTTGTTCCCACTGCCCCTTGCAGAGCTCTGGGTCAGGGCCATGTTGAACAAAACCAAAATGTTGGTTAAATCAAAAGCCCTGCAGAATTCAATGAGATGTGTGTCTGAGTGAAGCAAGCAGCGTCTGACCATGTGTGTTTGTGTCTCACTCAGAGCATGCACATCTTCTGAACTTCTGGGTTGAGCAGAAGGCCCGAATTAAGGCTTGCATTTCACTGCTGCCTCACCTCACCTCAGTAACCTGGGTTTAGCCAAGGTGACAGCATCCAGCACTTGGTCCCAGCCAGCAAAGGAAACCTGTCCTACACCACCACCCCAAGGCAGCATCACCCCATGGCTTGCTGTAAAACCCTCCCCCTCATAGCAGGGATCGTTCAGCGATGACTTTTCAGCGTGATCCGTCATTTTTTTGTTTTCATTTTAGCCACAAAAACGCTGAAAGCCCGAGCAGTCCAAGTGCTCCAGGAAATGTCTTTTTTTTTTTCCAAGAGAACTGCTGTGCTAGGGCTTCTGATGCATGCTGGTAATTGCAAACATTCCCCTTTGGACTCGTCGTTGGGTTATTGTTATGTGCCTGTCACCATAGCATCTGGGCACAAGGCATGAATTCAGCAGCCTCCTTCTGCACAGAAAATATTCTTTTCCTGCTCTAGCAGTTGCTTAAAGGCATTTCGGTCAAAAGCCTGGAGATGCAGACTTCTATCCCTGCTTTGGAGGTGAGGAAACTAAGGGACGATGTGGAAATGGACAAAGCTGCGTGTGCCTGCTTTATGTGGGCAGCTGGCAACGTGATGCCATTGCCTGGAAACGTTTCCCCATCTGACTTCTCTCCTCGCTTCTCAGGAGGGACAATTTTGCTTTTCTTGGCTCTTCCCTTCAGCCTCCCTCTTTCCTGCAAGTGCTGCTGACTGTGGCTTGCTGCAGTGGAGTAACTCCCTTCCTTGCAGCCTTTTCCACTTGGGTGGGGCAGCTGGGCCAGAAAATGTCCCCATGGTGGCAGTGGCACATCCCCACTGCCTGGGGAGGGTTAGTCACAAGCCCCCGGGGTGGGGACAGGCTAGGGTTTTAACCCTTTTGGAGCTTGAAACCAACCTGCTGGGTTTGGGGGCTGGTTTTCTTCTAAAAACTCCCACCTGGCCTTGTGTTGTTTTCCTTGAACAGCCCAGCTGCCAGCAGAGCAGTACCAGGTGGGAGCAGAGCTGTTCTGGGCACTTGGGCATCCGTGTGCCAAGTACAGTGCCCTAAGGTGACAGATCCTTAATTTCAGGTATTCCTGCAGCAGACCGAGCTAGGAGCCAGCAGCCAGCACGTCCTGATCCTGGGACTGGTGCTGGTTTGCTACTCTTGGCCTGAGATAAGGCACTGCAGAGCAGATTTCAGACTGTGCCAGGCCTGTGGGAGGTGCTGGTAACCTTTTGCTTTTGGAAATCAGGTGGCTGGTGGCTTGGAGCTTCAGTTGCCTTTGCTGTTCTCTCGCAAGATGTCTGTAGTACCACAGTTCTTCATAGCAGCAGGCACAGTGAGCATGACTCCCTTGTTAAATCCATCAGTTGGACTGCTTTGATTAGAAAATGTGATCTGTGAAAGTCCTGCTCACGTTCATTCAAAGACAAGATAGAAAGCAGTGTCTCAGTCTCACTGGGGCTCGCTCTCTACACGTGCAAGAAAAAAAGAGTTGCTTTATGGGGTGGCTCACACTCTGTCAGATCCCGAGCCAGATGCTGTGGTGGAGGGTACAATTTAGAAGGCTTGTTTGCAAACGTGGCTTACCAGAATATGTGGCTACAGCATCTCTCTTCCGTGCGGGCTGGAACATGAATAGTTCTGCTGAGTTAACATTTCGTTGGTTATTTTTGCCTAGGTTAAAGAAGGGGCTTAATCATACTGACCCCGAGCACCTGGAGTGTTATTTTAGGACTTAGGCTGCTTGGAGGGAATCTCTGAAGCAGCCTGGGAGAAAAGGTAGTAGAGAGACAGGACTGGAGCTTGGTGCCGTTTTAATTACCCTAATTGCACTGTACATTTTTCCAGCTCAGATTTGGAAAGGTGGAAACTCTCCTCTCACCCTGCACGCCCTGTGACCCTGGGGAGGAGGATGGGGGAGTCAGGGGAGTTAGGAGGATGCTCCCGCTGACTTGCTGCTGCCTTTATTTCACAGGTGGAGGCAGAAGCTGTGAACCGGGCAATAACCATCGCCAACCAAACCAACTGCCCCCTGTACATCACCAAGGTGATGAGCAAAAGTGCCGCTGATGTCATTGCTCAGGCCAGGAAAAAGGGTAAGCCAACTCCCCTGGATGGAAGCACCCTACCAGCTCATGCTGTTCAACTCCTTGCCAACACAAGCTTCATCCCTCCGGGAGAGGTTTCTTTTTCCAGTGTTACGTCCAGGCTCTTTTTCAAAAGGTCCCCAACAAGTGCTTCTGTCTCATCTCCCCCAGACAGGGGCTGTAGCAGTGCCAGGAGCTATTCCTTTAGTTCAGCCTGGAGGCTCTCTCTTCACACCCATCCTACTACATCGAGCCATGTGCCTTCGTGTTATCGCAGAGCAATTCCCTGCTGTCTGCACTTAACAAATCTCCATGGAGACTGCAAGCAGTGTCCTCTGTCCAGCTGCTGTGCTCTTCCTTTGGTGCTTTCTGCTGAACTGCTCCCGGGGTCAGAAGTGATTCTAAGAGCCCTGACTGAGGTCTTTGGCTCGCGAGCCCTGCTGGAGTTAGTTGGAGGAGCTGAAGTGCTTCCAGCTGTCCACTGTGCTCCTTGCCTGTGAAATGGATGCTGTGCTGTAACAGCCCGGCATCCAGGCAGGAATTGGGCTCATTAGTCTGGGTTTGGCTGGGAATTTTAATTGCCCCTGATAACGCTGCCTGAGGATGCTGCAGGAAGCAAGGCTCAGACCTGCCTTGGGTGCTGCTGCCTCGTGGCTCCTCTCTCTCAGCGAGGTATGAAAGAGCTTCATGACTCTAAACGATGCAGTGACTTCTGCCAGGTCCTGACTGTGCTGTCTTGCCCCCAAGAAATGAGGGTTACAAAGCACAGAGCGCGCCTGTCTCCCCGCTTCTGTGACTAAACCCTTCATTTCTATTTAAAGTGCTCTGGGTGGGTGAGTAAGCAGGAGGGATCATTTCCCCCCTCCTTTCCACAGAAGGGGTGCATTTAATTTGGTGCAGTCTAAATAAGCCCGAGTAGATACACAAATGACATCACTTTCCATCTGAGCGTTTGGTGCTAGAAGAGCTCATTTCCTACTGCAGCAAATGGATTTGGGTTTGTGTATGAGCTCAGAAGTGTTTGGATCCCATAATTCCTGCTAAGTGAGTTCAGAGCTGGTAAGGGAAACCGATCTCCGAGGCATCCCTTTCTGTTCATGGTGTGGAAGCAGCTCGAGCTGTTCGGGATGAACTGTCCTCTGCTAGCTCCGTTAGTGGAGGTCACTCTGAAACGAGATGTGATGACACGGCAGAGTGGCTGCATGGTGCACTGCCATACAGAACAACTTGATCCCATAAGCCAGGGAAGCATCCTTTGGTTTTTCTAGATAAAGGACTGGAGACACACAGACCACAGAGATGCAGCATCAACAACAGCACCTTTCTGCCCTCACTGTCCTCAGACCACTGGCTGAAGGGTAGTCGTAGGAGTTGGGATAACAGACCACACACTTTCTTCACAAAAACCATAAAACAACCTGCTGTGGCTGGGGGTTGGCCTGTCTGAGAGGTGCTGGGATGCTCCCAGGTGACTGACCCGCAGAGCTCACTTCACTCAGCATCCTGAGTGCACTAGAGTGTGCAGTTTTCCTTCAGTTTGCATTTTCTCCTTATAAGGAGAATTTGGGGTAAAAATGGCACGCCATTCTCTGCTCCTTTATGTAAGTAATTCAATTTAAATGCTGTGTGTTACCCAACTGGGTAGCCCAGGAGGGCCACACACACTACCCTTGCCCTCCCAAGCAACAGAGGAAACAGAGCTGAAGACTCTCCAAAGCAAAAACAAAACCGAATTGATTCGCTAAAATGGAAAAAAACGACTGTTATTTAAAGCCAGATGTTCCCAGTGGCATTTGTATGGAGGAGATTCCCTGCAGGCCCTGTCATTGGCGGATCTGGGAGCTCAAAACATTGCTCCCTGCAGAACAATCCTCCCAATGTATCGGCCCACAACAGGCCTCCCATTAATAGCCAGCGTGTGTTTCGCCTTGTTCTGATTTCATAACCCTATTTGTGGCAAGTGATGTCACGCGGCCTCTTCCTCTGCTGGTGGATCCCCTCCGATAAAGCTGCTCCGACATCTCCTGCTTCGGTGTGGTCCTGGAAGCAGCTTGCAGCCTGCTAATGGATCCAGTTCTGCCTCACCAAACACACAAGCTCTTTCCCAGCTTGCTTGAGAGCCTGTAGATGTAGCAGTGGTTTGAACACGGTGGTGAAAGGTCGTGTTTCTGCATTCTGCATGGCGAGGTAAGGCCCTGCTGGCTGGCTCTTGCGTTGCCTTTGCCAGTCTTGTGCTTTTGAAGCCTTCAGCATTAATATTTTAACCACACACACTTTTTGCAGGCAGGTACATATACACAGAGCAGCCAGGCTCAGAAGGCAGCTGGGCAGGCCCCTAACGGGGATTTGGGGAGCGTTTCATTTGGTGAGCAGATCTGCGGGGCTGCCAGCCTGCACCGCGTTTGAAGTTGCAGCATCTTGCAGCTGCTTGGTGTGCAGATGTTGCTGGTGCATTCCAGCATGCAAAAGCATCGTGGCCTCAAGGATCAGCTCTTCCTTCATGTGGTTCCAAAAATGCTAATAAAGAGGAAGGATGCACTGGTGGTTAGCGGACTGGACAGCGAGTCAGAAGATCTGAGTTCATTTCCTAATTCTGCCACAGATTTACCAGGAACCCTTGGGGAAATCACTCAGCTTCCCTGAGCTGTATTTGTGAGCCAGAAACGCTGCTGTTTGCTGTTTCTTCTCAGCAATGTGCTCTCCGCAGGCAGTAAACTTCCCACGGAGGAATTGTATCTGGTCTGTGCACAGAGCCTGCTCCAAAATCAGCCTTGTTAGATCCACCCAGCCTTGTTAGATCCTTCGTGGCTGTATATTTATAAAAATACTGCAGGTGCCTTTTTTGTTCCGTCCTTTTCTTCCTTTTCCTCTGGACCAGGCTGTGTCTCCTCACACTTAACAGTTCCCCTCAGCCTCTTTCATGAGGTTCTTAGCCCAGAATCCAACACAGTGAATGTTTGGACATTTCTTGGTGCTCACCATGCCTGTGTTCCCCCCCTGTAGGCACTGTGGTGTACGGGGAGCCCATCACAGCCAGCCTGGGTACTGACGGATCTCATTACTGGAGCAAGAATTGGGCCAAGGCGGCAGCTTTTGTCACTTCCCCACCGCTGAGTCCTGACCCAACCACTCCTGATTTTCTCAACTCACTACTGTCCTGGTGAGTAGAGCTCTTTGTGTTCTTACAAGATATGTTTCATCCCGAGACAAGGGGATTATAAAAATAATAGCCATTGTTGGCAGCTCGCAAAAGGCTGTTTTATCTTTAGTGGTAAACCCGTGACGATAAAATACCTTAAAAAGCTGTCCTTGTCTGTTTCCAGTGGAGACCTTCAAGTTACTGGCAGTGCCCACTGCACCTTCAACACTGCTCAGAAAGCTGTTGGGAAGGACAACTTCACCCTGATCCCTGAAGGAACCAACGGGACTGAAGAGAGGATGTCCATCATCTGGGACAAGGCTGTGGTATGTCCTGGGCTGATTGCGTTGTGGCCGCAGAAGGAAACTTGTTTAGGTTAAGCCACCCTTCCACTTATGATTCTGCAGACTTGAAAATCCAGCCTGTAAAGCATCCAGGCATGTAGCAAACGTTCACTTAACTAGGGAATGGTTGAACCTGTCTGCCAGTAGCAGAATGGTAATTGAGAGGAGCGTGCTGTGTGCCAGGTCTGGATCTTCTCCTTTTTTTTGTGTGTGTGCATGTGTCATGTCTGACTTCTGACCTAAAATTACCAGTCTGGCAAGGAGGAGCTGGAAGTCTGTTCATTATGTTCTGTTACCTCTTTTTGCACCTGTAAAATGTTGCTGATAAACGGATCAAGCAGGAGTTGTCACTCTCTTGAGTTAAAGTGGTGTGGCCAAACAGACAGAGTAATGAAAGGGGGGTTTGGTTCTGGTCCCTGCTGCACCCCAGCTGGGTGGGTGAGTGAGACAAGTTCCTTCCTTCTTCTCTTCAAGCAGACGTTCAGAGCTGAAGGAGCTTCAGCAGTGTGTTGTGACCTCTTTGCAAAAGCTTGGCCCCTTTATTTGAGCTTTTTGCCCCACAGAGCTCATTGGGAATCTGCTTTTGATGCTCCTGCCACCGGCTTTTTGGAGTGGTCCCCATCTGGCTAATGCAGTGCCTCCTTTTGTCGTTCCCCAGGTGACTGGCAAGATGGATGAGAACCAGTTTGTTGCTGTGACCAGCACAAACGCAGCTAAAATCTTCAACCTGTACCCACGGAAGGGCCGTATCGCAGTGGGCTCCGACGCTGATTTGGTTATCTGGGATCCTGACAGTGTCAAGACAATCTCTGCCAAGACTCATAACATAGTAAGGATGTTTTTTATGATACGAGCTCTGCTGCTCATTTCCTCCTGTCTCCCTTTAGACTATGCTGACAAGAACCAGAGCTCGTGACAACTGAGGGTTGTTTTTTTCCCCATGCCCCAAGCCCTGTCTGGTCTTACACCCAGCACAGCTCAGTTCTGTGCGCAGACGGAGAGGTGATTGAGCCCATAGCTGCAATCACATGAACACCCAGATATTTCCCTCGGAGCAAAGTGCTGGTTGGCTCTTTCTGAGCGTCAGACGTGCAGATCTGAGCACACAGAGAGCTCTTCAAATCTCTTAAAATGCCAAGAGGCCTCCTATCACGACGTGTCATTTATGACCTTTTGGCTGCCTAGCAGTGGGAATGGGACTGCGCCTTTTCTCCTTGCAGTTAGTGCAGCGTGCCAGCTCCTGGCCACCTTAGCTGCAGATTTGATCCAGGTCAGTGAGTCTGAGTAGATTTACACCACGTACTGATCCGGCTCTGATTGCTCCAGGCCTCTGGCAGTGTTCAGGTTTTGCTGCAGATGTCCTGCCCCCTGGCAGTGGTGAGGAGCAGGATTAGTTGTGTGATGGAGGCCCAGAAGTTGGTGAGTACCCACCAGGAGAAGGGAGGTGGAGAAATACCTACTGCAGGCACTGTGAGCTGGCTGAATCCACAGGGGTCTGTGCGTGGAGTCAGACAGGATGTTATTGATTGGCACAGGGCAGCTCCCACACTAACCAGCCCCTTTTTCTTTTATGGCTTTGTGGCAGTACCATTGGAGGCACTGTTTGCCTGTGGTTCCCAGCAGCGTCCCAGCCCTTACACCTGGCTCCTCCAGCAAAAATCTTTCCTACCCTGTGTGAAATGGCAGAAAGGTCCCAGCACAAAGGGGTGCTGGGAGCCTCCCTGTGCCATTCCAGCACTGTCTCAGAGAAAGCAACCTCTGTTTGCATTTGTTGACAACTTGTTTCATTGCTGGCGATGAACCTATGGAATGTTTCCCTGGAAAAAACTCCTTGTTCTGTTTTCCATGAATGCTCTCATTCACTCTGGAGCTGAAGGAGCAAAATTTTCTTCCACACTTTGGATCCCTGGGCACATTCACAAAGGAACTTTTTTTTTTTAAAGGTTTGGTTCTCTTCCCTGTGACTTAACTCTGTGTCAGAATTGGTCACAGATGGCCTGGATTCATCCTGCCCCTGCTTAGACTTTGAGCAGAGGCATCCAGACCCAGAAGTCTGGCTGCTTTAATCACCTTAGAGGTGCTTCCAGCTTCATCACCTCCAGTCTGGAAAGGAATGGCTTGCTCATTAGCAGAGGGAGCTGAATTGTTTGCTGTTAGGTGCTGAATTTAGTGTCCAAACCTGGGTTTGTGCTTACAGGAGCTGACCAGCTCGAAGAGCTGGAAGTAGCTTGCTGGATTGAATGTTTGACAGCCATTGCCATTTAATAGCTGTTGATTTTAGCAAATGAATTAGACTGTTTAAAATTTCCTAACACAAATTTCAGAGACCGAATCTTTTGTGGAGATGCCTCAGTACAGTCAGGTTTGACTGCGTGCCACCTCCAGGTTTTGCCATAGGTCTCAGAGCTAGGCTGAAGGGCGGCTGGATCCACCCTGGAGTCACTGCTCAGAAAGGGTTTTAGGCTAAAGACTGCAATTCCACTGGGACTCCTGCAAGTTCAGACGTGGTGCCAAGACTGGGGAGGATGAAGGGCTCTCTTTCAAGTGGTTTGTTAGAGCTCAAAGGGCTGTTGAACAAGCAGCAACTTTTTTTCTTACAGGTCCAGCTTTTCACCTCTTCACCTCTCATTGCATTGCCTGTCAGAGCTGGCATTGCACCTGTTGGGGTGTTTCTGTGTGTCTCACACTGCACACCAGCCCTGCATCAGAGAAGAAATCATTACATGGGATGCCCAGAGAGTCAAGGCATCCTCCTTTGATCAAGAATAAAACAAAAGGCCCTTTGAAAGGCAGGGCAAGCGGTTGCTGCGACACAGGGCTCCATGCTGATTATGTGGCAGCAGATGATTGTAACATTTTTAAATGCTAGAGCAACATGCAAACATTTTCCAAGAATTCACACCGCTGTTGCCACTGTCTGGCAAGGAAACATGAGGAGCTAGGGGAGGGAGACGGTGTTGTTCTTGGAACAGCCTAATTCATAAGTTTCTAACCAAGCCTCCTCCTTTGCCACCACAACTTTTTTCTTGCTGGACCCGGTTTGCTGTCGGTTTAACCGCCATTCTAGCTAACTGTAAATCTGCAGTCAGGCCTACCCATACTTATAACACACTCCAAGATGAAACTCTGTCATTAACTCAGTAAAAAAGCCCTGGGTTTGTCTCGGAGCTGATCACCAGAGTACGAGTCCCCAAATAACATGGTTGGAGTGCATCTCGTTCCAGGATGTTCCTGGGTGGGACATTTACCCGCCATTCCTTTAAAACTTCCCTTTTTTTCCATGGTGTGATGTTTCAGATCCTATTAATCGAGGATGAGCCATCCCGTTAGAGTAAAACAAGGTTGGCCTGGTCCCTGACCCATCAGCAAAACGCTTTTTTGAAATACATTTTTAAAAAATTACCATAATTTTTCATATGAAACCCAGATAAAACTTTATTTGACTCTTCAATCCCGTGCAGCTCAGGAAGGATAGGTGCCTAAATCCATTTTGATGGGTACACTTCAAAGTATTTGCATTTGAAACTGGATTTTCTCTGTAAGAATCTTCACAAAGAACATTGTGCATGAGTAAATCCTCAGTAACTTTAACCGCTATTGGGTTTGCTTCCATCTGTCCTCAAAACCTGGGGAATTAACATGGCTGGGGATGGTTAGTTAAAGCATGGCAGGCTTTGCTGGCACGAATTTGCATCACGTTGTCTTTTTGTCTGTTCCAGTCTCTGGAGTACAATATCTTTGAAGGCATGGAGTGCCGTGGGTCACCCCTGGTGGTTATCAGCCAGGGGAAGATCGTGCTGGAGGATGGGAATCTCCACGTAACCGAGGGCTCCGGGCGGTATATCCCCAGGAAACCTTTCCCTGACTTCGTTTACAAGCGCATCAAAGCAAGGAGCAGGGTGAGTAGAAGTGGCTGGATGCACATTTGTTGTCTCTCTGCAACCCCTGAGTTCAAGTGGGTGGAAAACAGATGCAATCCCCTGGCTCGCTGAATACACAACACTTCGGCACCAGAAAATGCTCCCTGGATAGGAGCCACGTTTATCTCATTCCTCTTTCATTTTTGCTATTTGCTTGAGTCATGACAGGAGTATGCTTTGTCTTCAGCTTGGATTTGCTGCAGATTTTATACTTCTGCTCCATAATTGTGCTCTGTCTTGGTGGCACCTGGACAGAGTGAGAACTGTCTGGTTTAGACATGAGTCAATCTGCAGATAACCCAGCAGGCTTCTCCTCCTACAGGAGAACCAAGAGAATTTACTGATAGCAGTTCTACATCAAACCTTTCAGCAACAGCTTAGAATTCTCATTTATTGTTAACGATACATTATGCTGCTTTCCCTTCTGTCAGATGCTCTTGTCTGGTGACTGGTGAGTCAGAGGCACAGCCCACTGCCTGGATAGAAGTGGGAATGTTTCTATTTTTAAGAGGCTAAAATTGTTGGAAGAGTGTTTTGGTAAAATACACCCAATCAAAACAGAAACCGCGTTTTGAAATGCCTTTAGTTGGTAAAAAGATGAGAGACAAGATGATGCCGAGCTCGGTTGCAATTTAGCTGCAGAGGATTTAAGAAGTTTATTTCCAGATGAAGTCAGATTTCTGAGGAGAAAGAGGTTTCCATGTCTGAGCTGTTGCCCTCTCCTGGACAAAACCAGAGCTGTTCCAGTTCTGCTGACCGTCGGTAGCCTGCACGTCCCTTGCAACTGATCTTTCCTTAATTGTTCTCCTGAGGAAATTACAAGTTATCAGTGTTACAAACACAAATAATTTAGCACTGCAGAGAACAGCTCTGTGATTTCTGTCATGTTCTGGCCTCCCGCAGAACTGTGTCTCTGACCTATAAATCCAATTGGGCAGCATCTCAACTGGAATAATTGCATTTAACCCAATCTAAAGCTCTGAAGCCGGAGATGTGAGGCCAGCCTGATTTCTGTTTGCGCAGCCTTGGCTCTGGGTCAGCATCATTTCCCTTTTGGGGTGTGAGTAATAAGTTTCATTTGAGAGTTGTCGGGAGCCTTTAATACAGCAACAGGTAGGCTGAGATCATTAAAGCCAAGAAGTGGTGGTGCAGGAGAAGATCCAGGGCTGTCTGTAGGCTGCAAACACCCCTGAGCTGGGGCCACAACAGTCCCAAACATCTTTTATTTTAGCCACGCTGCTTAAGAGGCCGGCTACCACCCAGGGACCAGCCCAGAGGAGGTTTTGTGTGCTTTCAAATCCTCTCGCTAAAGATGAATATTGAAATTTGTGTGTCATTGGCTTAGCAGCAGCAGGCCAGCTGTCTAGGTCTGTTTTGAAGGCTGTTTTCACCCTGAAGGCTTCCCTGCTTCTGTGTGTTGCAGCTGGCTGAGCTGCGGGGTGTGCCTCGAGGCCTCTACGACGGGCCCGTCTGCGAAGTATCGGTGACGCCGAAGACCGTCACACCGGCGTCTTCAGCTAAGACATCTCCTGCCAAACAGCAGGCCCCACCCGTGAGGAACCTGCACCAGTCTGGGTTCAGCTTGTCTGGTACGTACTTGTGCGGGGCTGAAGTGTCGTGCCTCGAAACCGTGTCTTGTTTATGCTTCCCTGCTCTGAATTCTGCTGGAGCTGGAAGGTGATGAGAGCTCGTGAGGTGTTCTCAGCTTGGAGGTTTTTCCTTTAGAAAGGAAGAGCAGTGTAGGAGCTGTCACAGAGTCCTGCTTATTTTCAGGCCGTGTCATGAACCCTGAGTTCCCCCATTGCTCGGTCCTCAACCGGACATCTGAACAGGGCAGATTGCAGCAACACCAGTGGAACTTTGCCAGCTGAGCCCAGCTGCAGCCGTGGTATGCAGCAGATTCATTTCACAGCGTGCCATTTCCCTGCAGCGAGGGTGGAGCGGTGCGGATGGGCTCAGCAGCTACTGCTGGCACAAGGAGCAGAGCAGAGCCAGGACAACTGGAATCAGCAAACCAAGTGTGGCAGGGCGAGGCTCTGAGCAAAAAGCAGGGCTGGAAGTGTGTGAAGAAAACAGCAAAAGGCTCGCTGAGGGAAAACCATTGATGTGTAGAGGACGGGGTGCCTGTGTTCACTGCCCAGTGGCCCTGACATTGCTTCCTCTCTCCCGCAGGCGCACAGATCGACGACAACATCCCACGCCGCACGACTCAGCGCATCGTGGCACCGCCCGGCGGACGTGCCAACATCACCAGCTTGGGCTAAGGACCCCTTCTGCGCCCGCCTAGCGGACCAGGGGAGGGGACGGGGGCACCTGGAGACCCTTTTTGATTCTTTTAGAGCCTGTGACAGTTACTGCGGGCAACCAGTGAGGGGGGGCTGAAGTAAGGCGCCTCTTTCAGTCCCCTCAGATTCCCTCCTCATCTTCACCAACCCCTCTCACTTCCCCATCAGCCCCTACACATTTAAAGAAACAAACCCTGTTTTGACACCTCTGACATGCAAAAGTAAATGTAAAGAGGTTGTTTGAGATATGTGGCCTCAGTCCCATTCAGCATCTTTCTTTTAATGAAGGAAGGATAAAGTGAATTTCCCGGGAGCTGCCTTTAAGACACAGAAAAAAAAGGAATAAATAAATGTAAAAAAATAGCTTTTTTTTTTTTTTTCCAATGTCAAGCAGAAGAGTAGTTCAAGGGTTTTAAACTGGATATTCTTTAGGGTTCTGTATTCCAGCAGAATAGCTAGGCGAGCACGGAGGGGCACGAGTCTCAGCAAGTAACCTTTCCCCACCACCGCCTTCAGGTCCCTGAGTAGCTGTCTGCTGCCAAGAGAGAGAAACAGGACCCAGCACTAGGAACACGCATCGCACCCTGCCATCGGGTGAGCTAGAATTGTTGGGGACTTTTCGTTCTGTTTAGTTTTATTATTTTTTTCCTTTTTATTTTCCTTCTGGATTTTGCTGCAAGTTAGGTCCTTGAGGATTTTTTTGTTTTTAACATCTGTGTATGTTTTTAATATGTTTGTATCATTGTGTTTACGAAGCCTTATCTCCAAACTGGGCATCTCCCAGTTCTCCCCGGTCCTTCCCAAGTCTCATTCGAGTTACAGCCCCCGCCAATGTCACTGCCACCCTGGTACTTCAGGTGTCCCCAGGTTCCGTTCCAGCTAATGCTTGCCACTTAGCTGCAATAGGAGGTCGCGAAGCAGGTTCATAAGCTATGATCTTCACTTCAGTATACTGGGCCTTGAGCTGGTGCAAACAACAGGGCTAGATGCCGGCTGAGGAGCTGGGACAGTCTCTTGAGGAGCTTTGAGCAGTTATTAGCCTTTTGGTCCTGGAGGTGGCCATCAATGAGCAGGGGGCCACAGGCAAAGAGCCAAGACTTTGCCTGGGAGATTTCTGGAGCAGCCACGTCCCCTTTCCTGGCCATCTAGGAGTGGTTATTTAAAACTTTACAAGAGCTTATCTTTAGCTCTCATCGAAAGGCCGGTCGGGTGAGCGCATGCCTGAGCATCCGTGGCAATTCCAATTAGAGTCCAGATGCCCAGCTGTTGTAACTGGGAGCCTCGGAGCAGCTCAGTGGGTCAACAGCAGCTGAGAATCTCTCATCCACGGTGCAAATTTCACAGTCCCTCATTCCTTCAGGAATCTGCATTTGTGTAAATATTCACACGAAGGCCTGGGCGTTCCTCGGACGCCTGCTGCCTCAGGTTTTTGAAACCACAGGGTGAGAGCGGTCCTGGAATGAATTCAGGTGCTGCAGCTTCTGCAGCAGTCAGCGGGATCTGGGCACTTAAATATTTTCCAGGTCTGAAGGTCTTTTAGTATTGGAGGCTCACGTTTTCAGGACACGGAGAATCAATCTGCACCATTAGAGTCCCACGTACACTTAGCTGCAGGGCTCGATGGCCCCGAGGCCTCGGGCTGTCTCTTAGCACAGAGAGAGCTTTTCCACCCACAGTTACCACAGCATTACCTCCACTGTCTGTACGCCCTGGCACTTGGCTGTATCTTCTGCTTTCTCTTCTGTTTGTACTTCACCACGTACATTGACCTTGTTTTGCCGTATTTGTGAGTATTTTCTTAAATGGTGTTTACAGGTTCTTTTAAGGAAAAACGATATATATGAAGGCTTTTAAGAAGCAACTACCAAATTTGTGGTTATGAAGTATCAATGCTGGGATTTTCAAAGGATCTGGAAGCTCTGTAGGTACCCAAATGCTCCCAGCTTCAGCACCTGATACCTTTAGGCCCCTTTGAACATAAAAGTTAGGAAAAACATTGCCATCCTCATCCATGCATTTAGGTTTAACTCCTGGCTGTTTAGTTTTGCATAAAAGAGTTTGCACTTTGTTTGTGAAGTAATCCGTGAACGTAATATATATTGCAGCTATTTTCATTTAATTTTCACCTGTATGTTAAAATCAATTTGAACGAGTTGGGGAGAAAAAAAAAGAAATGCAGATCCGTTTCAATTCTACGAAACACTTGCGGCTCTTCAGTATTCACTTAAGTCTTCCTTTTTTTTCCTTCACTGACTCATGATGACTTTTTAGTTTTAATTTGTTCTTCAAAAGGAAAAAAAAAATCACAAAAAAAGATTTTTGCAGGCTATGTAAGCATGTTTTTTCCTGTGAGAGCTCGTCCGCTTTGTGTCTGTTTAATGAATGTCATATGTAAATGCTTAAAGAAAAAAGACGATGACTTAATTAATTAACCGCAGTGACTTGAAGCTCTAAAAATAAAAAAAAAAAGAAGTAGGATTTAATACTAGCTGGATTTAACCCTTGGATTTGTGATTGTGAACCATGAGTGGAGGAGCTGTAAGTGCTAAAGCTGATCATGTGTGTAGACAAAAAGAAGTACTGATATTTGCCCATTGTCTCAATGGCAAAAAAAAAAACACCCCAACCCCAAGTCTTGTGTTTTATTCCTTAAGAACTCTGTGTTATATTACCATGGGAACTCCTAATAAAGACAAAATGTTGTTGTTTCACTAGGTGCATCTGTGTCTCGAGGCGATACGTGTTGTGTGTAACCGCATACCTTGGCTGGTGCCTTCAACAGATAAAAGCAGCCTGGGCTCTCAGATCACTGCTAACGTAGGCTGATGATAGTCCTGTGTAGGAGTGAGCTATACAGTAGCAGAGCTGAAGGTAAGGCTCCACGGTTCCTTGGAAGGTGATGATAGTGAAGAGGAATTGATGGTCCGTGGTGTAGTTTCCTTTGAGGAGAGAGAGACCAAGCCTCTTCTCAGGGAAGCTTTTTCCTTACAGGCAGCGTTTGGCAAAGCAGACACATTTGCCTGAAAGCTCCCGGCTCTACCTTGTGTGGTTAAGCAGAGATCACTGATGAAAGGCACGCAAAAGAAGCTAAAACTATTGGCACAGTCCTCAGCCCTCCAATGTGTTTCTACTCGAACCCTCGTAACAGCGATGGAGGCGGGGAGGGAAAGTAGGGCCTCAAATGGAAGCCACACACAGCTAACTGAATGAGGGAGTGTGAGAGCTGGCTGGAAAAACGCCAGTGACACTTCCAGTGGTAGTGGTTGGGTTTTACAGTGTCGCAGAGCTGCTGGGATGGAGAGCTCCCTCGTGGGAAGGTCTCAGAACCAGCCAATGTCACGACCAGCTGCTCACGCCATCGGTTGCTGCATCCATGCATCCACAAGGACAACCCCCTCGGTGGTCTTCCCCCTGAATCTGAGCACGGCTGGAGCCTACACCCAAATGTTTAAATGCTCTGTAAATGCAATTAGTTTTCTCTACACAGCTTTAAACCTGGTAGTTTAGTCCAGTGCAAAGTTTAAGAGGGTTTCCATTTTATCTGCTCAGAAGGGGATGGCAGCTTTTCAATTTTCCTCTGGGAAGAGGAACTGTGGGTTAAGTCCTCAATAGAAAATTGCATCGAGTGCAGCGATGGCCTCTGCAGCACCGTGGGACGGCTGAGGCAGGCTGAGCTCCAGGGTTATGCTTTTGAGTTACGGATGTTGATGAACATAGGATTTTACCAGGTTTTGCCAAATTTGAAGGACACCCATCAGCCGGCCAACAAGTGGAACAAACTTTTGGTTGGTATTTAATGAGAAACACTCGGCAGCGGTCATCCACTAATAAAATACTTAGATTAGCGTGGGGATTCTGACTCTGTTACCAATGACAAGCAATTATTGAACTCCTTAGACGTTCGCAATAACACAAATGGGATAGAGCAGGGCTGGTGAGTAGCTGTGTGCAAGGTGTATTAGCTTGTCCCAGTGATAATATCACAGCAGCAGGTACATTCAAGGCTAAAGCACTGAAGTTTAGTTAACACACATCTGTGGAGCTTCCATTTGTTTTTATTCTATCATTATTTCTTCCTCCAGACTCGAGTGGAAGAAAGAAACTTCTTCCCCAGGAAATCAGTTCCAGGGACCCAGTGAGCCCAGCATATGATTGAGCAGGACTTAGTGCAAGAGCAGCAGCATCAGAATGAGAAAAAAATCGACTGAAATGTAGAGGTTTTGAGGTCAGGAAGAAGCAATCAACAGCCAGATCTTAACATGTTCTGAGGAGCAGAGCCAGTCAGACATCACAGAGAGAGATTCAGGTCAGTGGGGCCGTGCTGCCTTGCTGCTGCAGAAGAGCAGAGGAAGAGCTGTATTTCATCAACTCATTAATCCAGGTAATTCCTTATGCTGGCAGCACTGAGATCCAGCTCATTAGGTATGCACTAATTTGGTTCCTTGCAGGCCTCCCATTGACTGGTCTGCAGCCATGTGTGTAGGACCAAATATAGGGCTAATCTGAGCTTAAAGTTGGTACAGAATTAGTGGCTAAAAGCAGAAGAAAGGAAGTGGAAGATGAATGTAACTTAGTGACCTGGAAAAGTAGCTGTCAGCTAGCGAGGAGAGATGGGTGATCAGAGCTGAGGACACTGGGCCTTGATTTATTGCTTAGTGGAAGGGTGGCTGGGAGCAGGAATTATCACCAGCCCTTGCACCTAAGCTGTCCTGCTTCAGCGTGTACCAGGACCTGCCACAGGATTTCCCAATCCAAAGCTTCTGTGACCTAGGGCTCTTTTATATCCACACACATATATAGAAGCACATCCGTGTGCTGCTCTCTGACTGAACCAGTTTTGCAGCAGACAAGGTTAATTTGCGCTATTTTGTATTTCCTGCAGGCTAAAAGCAGTGTTTCTGCAGCTTAATACCTTCCACCACAGTAATTGGAGGTGTCTGAGTGCATAAGCCCCGGGGCTCTTTGGCACTGGAGCTCCTGACAGCAGTCTCAGTCTCATGTCCCTAACTAAGGTACTATTTATGACTCTAGGTAGCTTTTCCAGGACAAAAATAATTAACACTAAGTTTAATTCACTTAAATTTCCCACGATTTTTATGACTTTTTAAACATTTTAAAAATTAAAGTAAACCTGCTTGTTCCCCACTGGTGCAGGCTGTAGGGTGGGAACTGGTTTTCTCTATTTTTTAACATGAAAGGTGACAGTTTAGCTCGCTACCATTAGGTGGCAGCAGGACATGTAAAAATGAAAATGTCAAACTCCCCAGAGGCACATGGATCATTTTAAGAATGATGGAGGATGTAATAAATGTAGAGCATGCACAGGGCTTGTGATTACTGTGACACAGAGATGACATATTCATATATCCTCCTATCCTCTCTATTATATTATCAGATAGTATTTCCATGTTAAAGGGATATGAATGTATTCTCAGGACATCCTCCTGTAATAAAATACAGAGTGAGCCATAAACATTATCTATTAATTTAGTTACAAAACAAACAAACAAAAACAACAGCCTATTTTTTTTAAACAGACACTGTCTTTTCTTTACAAAACTGTGGTATCCAAAACCAGAGATAAGGTAGATTTGAAGAGATGGCAGGATTTTCCTTCCTGTGGAATGGTTCTGTTTCTTCCTTGCCATTTCCTGCCCTTCTTCTATGGCTAACAGAGATTTTTTATTTTTATTTTTATTTTGGTTTTGGCTTCATGCAGTTGTTCCCTGCAAAAAAAACCTCCTGGTTTGGAAGGAGTAAGAGGGAAAGTATGAGCAATTGTTTGGTTTATCATGTTGTCCCACTCATTTCTCATTGAGAAAAAAAGCCCTACTGATTCCTCTTTCTGACCTGAAAAAATATGCAGAATTTTGCTCTGTGTTGTTTTTACCAGTAGCAGAAAAAACACTCCCTTTCCCCAAGAAAACAGAACAAAAACACCAGCCAGAGAAAAACAAACACTTTCTTGAAAATAAGCAAAACTAATTCTGTTCCAGGCTAAGCTGTGCCACTGCCTCTTTCCAAGAGCTAGCTGCTGACTTATATCTGTGAGGGAATCATTTCCCTCTTTCCTATTGCTTCTCCAGTTCCTCTTTCTTCTTGTGAAAGTGCAAGCTTTGCCAGTTGACTGCTCTGCAGTCAGAGGAAAGAATCTGCTTTTCTCCCACAAAGCAGGTCAGAGAAGTCACCTTTTGCTCACTGCTAGCTTGTGACAGGACTTGTAGCCTTGGCACTCACACTGTGGATTTACCACTGGGTTCCTGAGTGTGGGGTTCTTTCCACAAGCTTTTTTTTTCAGCTATTAACCAGTCAAACTTGGCAAATACCTTAGCAGTGAGTCCTGTCAGTGCTGGCTTGCGAAGCCTCAAATGGCAGAAAATCCTTTGCTCCTTTACTCCATGGACTAACCAGAAGATGACGTGAAATTCATGCTTCTGTGGGCAGCTCAGGACATTAATGGCTGTTATGCAAAACATTGCTAAGATGCAAAATAGTGCAAATGCAAGAATAAATGCAGTAGGTCAGAGAGCTCTGTTAACTGGACAGCTTTGTCAGGTGATGACTTGTTCTGCCTTCTGAATTTCAGTTCCGAAACATAACCATCCTATTTTCTGCTTTTATTTCATTTATTTCAGAGACAAGCATTGATAAACCTTCCTGAGCTCACATGCTTAGATTCCACTTTCATTCCTGCTTGTGCGACAGCCGTGGCTTTCTCCATCGGCCCCTAAAATACCCAGCAGCAAGCAGAGCACGCAGCTGCAGTGCAGTCTCGTTTATTAAAGGTTAGGTGATGTGGCAATGAGGTGTGACTACCACAACTATTCAAATAATAGAGAGAACTAGCCCACTTGCTACCTTACAAAATTACATGGTAGTTTTATGGAAAATGATTAGTTAGATTGCTAACCAATCTCTTATTTTCTATAATTATGAGTCCTATTGCAAGTCCAAAAATGAAAATCCCTATTCCAGAGGCTTTTACAGCTACTGAGCATTTGTGCCTTTCTTTTGAAGAGGAGCAGTTCCACAAGAGGGCATCAGATATACGCTTTTAGACTGCATTTCTCTCCCTTAATGACATCAACTGAGCAGAAAAATGCACTGCTTTATTTATGTGTGTACCTGTGGCTTTCTCTTCCTATAAGACAGAGGCAGAGAGCAAGGGAGATGTTTGGAGGTGGATGTCACCGTGGTGCAGTGTTGCACGTCTGGGACAGGGAGAAGAAGTCTGCTGCCAACACAAGCAGGAATTGGGGACTGGGCTGGGACTAGATGGCATTCAAACATCACAGCTCATCAGCTACACGCAGGTTGTTGGCTCCAAAAGCTTGCCATTCCCAGGAATTTTGTGCAGTATTTTTAAGAGCAGGATCCTCGTGAGGTTAGATGTGGCCTTCCCTTCTGAGCCTCTTGGTCAAAGAGAAAAGTGAAACCTCAGAGGACTCTAAGCTGAGCATGTCAGGGCTGGGACCCAAATCATCTGTGGGTTGACCAGAGCTGTACAGGAGCCCCTGTGGTTTACTCCTCTTTTCTCTCCTCCCCTCCCTAATGCTTGTCTGTTGACAGAGACCAAGCTTTCCCAGGCTCTGGGCCAGCTCTGTAACGACCTGCCATCCCACATCTTCGCTTTCAGTTGGGTGCATTCTGTCCTTTCCTCTACTAAACTTGCAGCAGCCACACTGCTGAATGCAGGACAAGACCCTACAGAAAC